TATATAAACATACACAGATTATCACATTAATTATAAAACTTCTAGCCTCACAAAGCATGATCACCATGGGGTTGACTTACTTTGTCAATATGAAATACTGTTTTCTTCATCTACCCAGGGTAAGTCATCTAACTTACCAACTTGTCCCAATTCAGGGGAACACATTTGCCATCTTGGACAGGCCAAACGTTTTGAGCCTATCAGAGACTAAGATGCAGCCTTGGTTGCTAAATACTTGTAGGATGGTTCGCACATGACACAGATGAGCCAACTTGGCCTTTCCTTTGGTTCTTGTACTGTGTCAACAGAGGGCAGCAAGCCTGTACCTTTGGCTCAGGGTTTAGTTTCACAACACTGTGGACCACACACCCTTTCGGCATTTTTAGAACGATCCTGTGCAGCTTCGAGGGTGTTTTGTGTTTTTTTTTTTATAACCTCTTTCAACATTTTGTAGTCTGATTTGAGTAAATAGAGTTCTGTACCTCTAGCTAGTTTGGAGGTCATTTATTTTTCTACTTGATTTGAAGTGTTACCTTTGGTTTCTGCATCTTTTCATATTTCATAGATTTGGCCATGATTCAGTAGCCTCTGTATCGATAAACTCATAATTCATTAGGCATTATTTCAATAAACTTAATGAAACAACTACGACTGCAGATGATAATGGAATCTGGATTATAGGAAAGGCATGACTTCCTAAAAAGCCAGTCAGTCAGGAAGGCCCGGATCATGCTGTAGTAACAACAACCTGAGAATCCTCTGTATTTTAAACCCATAAAGGATCATTTTTACTCCTGCTCCATGTGCATTACAGGTCGGCCGAGGGCTCTGCTCCCTGCCTGCCACTCTCAGGGCCGGACCAGGGAGCATTACAGATCGCAGTGGCAAGGCCAAGGGAGCTCGCATATCCTGCCAGCTATAAGCAGTCCATCCCCAAAGTGACACACTGACTTCCACTCACCCGCCAAGTCTACTCAGGCCTTAAAGCACTTGTGGTCAATTATGTTATTTTTTGGTGACTTTTTCTAATACTCATTATAGGATTTTTAATAGGAAATAAGTTCAAATAAACATACGGAGTGGTTTCACACATATCATCACGTGTAGCCCCGACAAGCATTCTCTGTTATCCCCATTTTCAGGGGAGTAAGCAAACCTAGAGGAATTAATTTGCTCTGAATGTTTTCAGTGTGAAGTTACTTAATGGCAGATGTTGCTTGACCTGGCTTCTTGAATTTCTGTCATTTATTTGAAAAGAAAAACAACCTCAGCAGGCCAACTTGGAGTTTGAGCATTTTTTTTTTTCAAATCCTCACGTTGAGGATATTTTTTGCATTAGTTGCCTCCCTCAAGTGAGGATTGAGCCTGCAACCGTGGCAGGTGCCCTTGACTGGAATCGAACCCGTGATCCTTCAGTCTGAGAGCCAACGCTCTAACCACTGAGCAACTGGCGAGGCTATGGCGTTTGAGCTTTTAATTAATTTTTACGTAGTATTGTGAGCAATCCATTGTTAAAAACATTAGAGACCTGGTTCAGACTTCTGTAAATGTGAATAAACTGTGAGCTCCATTAAATTAAAATGCGACCTCCATATGAGGGAGCACCTTGATGCTTTTCCTCACCAGTGAATCTTCCAGAACAGTGCTTGGCACACAGTGGGCATTGAATAAGTATTAACACTTACTTGAACAGAAGCACTCAACGAATGTCATTCTGTGTTTATTAAAATGGGCTGGTCTCTAGTCATGCTCTTTGTCACTCTTAAATACTATTAACCAGTATTTATCCAACACTTTTCAAACCAAATAGATGTAACATTACTGAAGCTGTGAAAATATTCTTCAACTTTCAGAATTCGTTGTTTCCCCCACCTCCCATGCCTGACTTGGACTAAACATGCCCCACTGGACATCAGACAAGTCACAGTCAGGATTTAGGCTGTGCTTGAGAAACAAGTGAGCACATGGAAATGCACTCAGACACCTGCCTCCCAGAGCCCGGCAAGGGTATCTCGGGTGATTCTTGGGTTCCAAGTTTTCCAAATATCAGAGCCAAATGATGAAGTTGTTTTATTGCTTGAAGCTAAGCTGTGATTTCACAGGGGACATACATTGGAGGAATGGTGGTTAGGAAAGGAAAAGAAATCTGAAACAAAGTTGATTTGAACTGCCCTGTCCAGCAACAGAATGTGTGCGCAGTGGGTGGTTTTGTAACAGAGTTGGGTTTTCCCCGAATGTTTCCTCTTCATAGCCTTGACTTTCCCACTCCTACCTCCACCCAAACTGCCTAGGCCAAGGTCCATACCCATGGCATAGGTGTGCATATGCGCAGGGAAACACCCACTGGAAGCCAGCTGATCCT